TCACACTCACGTCTACAGCGCATAGAATTAACCAACAAAGCGCATTAGCTGGCGAAACGTGCGTGCTACATAAAGTCCCAGACAACCACTTATGTATCTGCAAGCTGCTTTCGACGTCATGAGCAAGTGTGACGTTAAAATCAACATCACCATATAAATATTAGCAGACCTGAAGCACTAAATTCGTTTCCTTCTACCTAAACTTTGATATGAGATCAGAACGCTCAATATCCTTGCTTTTCGAGCATCTTTAAGGACATATCCCGGTTGGTTTTGGTAATCGAACAGATCCAGCAGCGTAGGCCTATGTAGTCATTAGCAGTGATCTCAGAATGGTGCACTGTTCGCTTTGCGTGTTCATTTTATCCGGAAGGGGAACTAGGCCACGTTCTTTTTGAAGGAAAGACGAAAGCGAATGCTTTCCAGGAATGTATGCTGCATTTGAAGTACCAATATGACGGCAGGTCATCAGGACGAAAGTGTAAAAAGATGAGCAGCGCCCTATTTGTGTTGCTTTGAGAAACACAAAATATTCTTGGTGCAACTCACGTATAATATGTCTCCTGTTGCCCACGGGCTCGAATTTTACCTACACTGATTGGTGTTATGGCACGAGTTAGAACAACGAGAACAGGACTTATGCCCAGAGAGAGCAGACAGGTTGACTTGTGAAGACTGGACAATCTTTGAGGAGGAATGAGAAGCCTTACTTCCAATATCACCTGTGGAAATACCGAGGTATAAACGGGACTTTCCCGGGAACAATATTTGCCGGGCTATGATATGAAAGCACGGAAGCCTGGCGGAGCAAGCTTACAATGACAGCGTTTGTACTCAAGCGTGAATTTAATGACTTTCGAGGAGCGTTCATGCAGAATCATCTGTGGTTCTCTGGGAGTTTCTGAGTGTTCGAGCATTAGGACAAAAGCTAGCTGGACTAGACATTGATCCTCTGGTCCACATAATGACGTGGTGCCTACAAACAAATACATGTTCTCTTTGCGAGAAAAAGGCAGTCGCCCGCTTTCTGTCTTCACATTCGCTCCAAGAGGGAAAAAATTGGCGATAACCATAACACCGTTGAGAAGCATCCTCTCAAAAGCTCTTCACAAAACGAGTATTCAGCGTCGATGCCGTGGACCTTGCGTAAAATACGAGTCAACATTCGGTAACAAGTGGTACTCTATAGTAAATAGAATGTACAGTATCGGCAGGCCATCCGATACGGGGATGAAATACGGCACTTCTCTAAACCTTTGCATCGAGTCCTACACGATAGACCTGAGGAGGACGACTACGTTAACAATGAACAAGGGCTGAACGTGGCGCCAAGAGAGGGACGCTGGTTCGGTACATTAAACATAGAACCATCCCAACTCTTGCCCACTCGAATTGAGGCAGCTTTTTCTATATTCGACGACATTGCGGGTGCGTTGAAGTCAGAGCCGACGGGAAGTGTTCCACGGATCCACACAATAAGCTTCAACATCAGATTATCATTTGAATGCACCGCGGCTTCCTGTCTGTTTTGAGCGAGTTTCTTGCTTCTGTTGGGGAAGAATATGTCACTAACGAGCTTGGTATGGCACCATCGATAGTACGATCGATGCTTATGCTCCTAAAGAGTCCTTCTATATGATAAACTTTGATGCAAATCTTCCTTTTTCGTTTCGTTTGGAGCCCAATACCACGTGCCAAATAAGGGAACCGTCTCGCAGTGGCTTTTACTTTCGAGCTGTATATTTCGTTTTGTTGTTTCGTTGTAGTGTTTTGTTATAATTATGGAAGTGATGCTGAGCAGGGCCGATGGGAAGGTGGGGAGGACAGATGTGATGTTGCGGTGAGCGAGTAATTCATAGTGTAGACCTAACAGAGAACAAGATGCAGAAAGAAAAACAAGGACAGAGAGATGAAGGTAATCAAATAAGTATACAGCGAGATAAAAATACAGAAATAAGTTATGGCATCTTTACCATATTCCTTATACAGCGTTTTCGGGACTGTGTCCACGACTTATTGTGTAAATGAAGCAAGTCGGATTGCTAGGTAAACGGAGAGGATATGTTAAATAGTGCAGTGCAAGCAGTAAACGTCGTCACCAAGATAGCAAGGAATCAGGTGAACAAACTGAATCTCTCCGGTTACAAGCCAGCAACCTAACAACCATTGTTTCCTAGTTTCTTGGCAACGTCGTACCTGTTCACATGCAATGTTGTTGTGTCGTTTCTGCACAGTGCCACTTGTCGTTTCTGCACAGTGCCACTTTGATTAATTAGAGGTACCGTTACAAACCCTTTGCTGCCCTTCCATTTTTATATACCCGAATTTCTATTCGCCATTTCAGATAGCCAACTGGAGATTACCCCTCCTTTTGCTCTGCCGTTCCCTCACTCTACACGGAACTGGTGTATATCACAAACAAGCTGAACTACGACCCGTCGGCTAAACAACTTCAATCGTGCCGCCCTTCATCCATGCGATACAAGTGGCTTACGCGAAGCTTCGTGGCATCGAGTGTTCTAAGGATGTGAATGCCACAGTTTGGTCCCGGGGTGAGACTGGGTATAGTTCGGGGTCACGAGTCGGCGCCACAAACAAAAAGCCAGCCTTTCCTGCTGGACGCATCATGTCCGCATGACATCTCAGTTTAAGATAGCCGTATTGATAAAAAGATGTCACTGGATGACTGTATAGCTCGCCTTTTTTTTTTCTCGTTGCATGCTCCTTTCCCATTGCGGGAAAACTGTGAAATACTGTGCTGGGGTCTCTGAACTTCTTTCAATCTCAGAGGCTTGTATTCTGGTGATTCCGGTTGTGCTGACCATTCAGAGCTCCGCAACCCTTCCAACCAAAAAGGCAGGGGGTTGCACAGGAAAACGAAAAAGAGAGAAGGCTGCTCAAATCGCGAAATAAATCGCGTGGGAGCCTTTCGCGTGAGTGGTACTTACGATACTCCACGTTAGCGAAGCTTTGAAAAAAAAATCCAATTGATGCGAAAGAAACAAAATGAACAAAGACGAATACAGGGCATTAGTATGCGTCCTAATGGCACATGTTTGGCAATTCTGAAGCACAGACTCGAAGATGCTTCACTTCCGAATGTTAGTTTCGGCTGTCGAGGCAACCCTGGCTATTGAAGAGCAATACCCAAGCAGCGCAGACTACAGCTTTTGACTGCGTTATCAATATTATGAATACTCGAAGCGCTATTAGTCGTCGCGGTCATGTTTCGTATAGAGTCTGAATCGATAACAAAGCCCCACACATAGTATTTACCTTTAAGTGTGTGACCATGACGGTAGATGTGCTGGGCCTACCGCAACGTTCTTTAAAATAAAGGAGTCAAAACGTGGTTACTTTTTAAGGAAGATTACTTCATACATGTTGTTGTCCTAGCACATAAACTTATTTTATAGACTACTCTCTCTTTTACATAGATTTGAATTTCATAGATTTGTTAATGCTTTTTTACGCACAGGCGTGCTGTGCTCTAGGAGATATAGGCTGCTTATGAGAGTCCTTTTCAGAAAAGTGTAGATTTCATTTGCTGCATCATCATTGTAATTAGCAGCTTCGAATTCCGCAGCTTTAGAACCACGCAACGACGGCGTTTCAACCAGAAGTGCTATACTCTCGATTTAGTATAAGTAGCCCTAATGCCAGTCAGATTATTCCTACGCGAAACTCTTAACGAACACGCTAAACTTGAGAAATCTGGCTGACCATACGAGTGACCTTTGACTACTAAGTGACACGAGTGAACAGCTTTCATAACTGCTGATAGGGGTGCTAAGCGCAGCTTGCCCTCAGATGACCTGGTAGTATAGAAAGAAATCCTTTAGCCTTGAGCACATGGGTCATGCCATGTCGAGTGCCATAGGCCATGCCCTGTGCTCATGGTTTGCATATGGTCATCCGGTACACTGACTTTACGAACACCCGTCCAGCAGGGAAGGCCTTCAAACACTGACGCCAGATACGGCTACTATTAAGACGAGAGCCGCAACAATTAAGCGCGGGCTTCATAGCACCATCGGTCTCCTCCACCCTCCTTATTTGCAAAGGAGCGGGTGATACTCAGAGTACAGAGCGAGACCAAGAGTATTACCTGAACATACGTGTCCACGCCGCGCGCGGACGAGCAAGGGCGGAGGAGCCGAGAGTAGTTAGCAGTAGTAGTAGCTGAGATTACAGTAATGGCTTCAGCGAGCTGAAAGATAGCGATGACGACACTTACGAGGATAAAGAGCCCGCGGTTGTACGCTCATCAAGTGCTGCAATGTGAGTGAGATAAAGAGAGATGGTCGACATCGGCACCCAGCGCAGTCATGGGTGTCTTGCAGAAAACGACGAGAGGTTCGTCTCAAAGCACCGCAATTGACAAAAGCTGCGGAGAAAAAGACTCACGTTGCTTAAAAGGTTGCTAAAGTGAGATGCTGCTAACACTAAAATCCTCTCACGTGCAGATCTCGGACAGCGATCTGCCCTTGAAAACGCCTGCAGCGCACCCTCGCAACAAATTGTAGCCTCGTACAGAGAATACCACATCGCTGCAAGAATAGGCAAGCAGCTTTTCGGCTAAACTGTCACATGGACAGCGACGTACGATTCAAACGCGTGAACGCGAATCAGGGACGGTCCCGTGAAGCGACGGAGGGGGCTGTGCGTTTGCACTAGTACGCCGAAGGCGCTAATCGCCAAACGCTTCGACAGTAGCCCCACCCTACCTCAATTCGCACCGTTGACGGAGCAAGTGACAGTCAAATGCATAGCGATCTTCATGGCGCTAAGCGCGCCGCCCAAAAGCAAGCAAAAGGAACGAGCGCACAAAACATAGGTGGTGCTGCACCATCGCGGGCCTCCCGGCCATCACGGGGTCCAATTGCCGAAAGCCCCTGCCTGCCACTTCGCTTGAGGGGTGGCCTTCAAAGAGCACGTAAGCACGGGGACTAGATGCCAAGGAAGAGCCGCCGCTAGCTGAGCGGCTCCTCGTCCCATCATCAGGGCGGCTTCCTGCGAAGGGCGTTGTGCAGGAAGGCCAGCTTCCGCTCCAGCGCCTGCTTTTCGCGGACCGCCTCGCGCAGCAGGTTGAGCAGGCGGCGCTCGGAGTCACGCCAGCGCCGGACGAGTTGCTCGCGGGAGAGGCCCTGTAGGCAGACGTCGTCCAGCGGCCCAGATGCGGCCAGAGTGACTCGTCGAGGCTCCCAGGGCGGCCGCATTTGGGAGAGGTCGCCCAGGGACTTGGCTCGCCGCCGACGCACCGGCACGCGAGGGGCGACGAGCGTCTCGAGGCTGACGCTTAGGAGTGCGCCCGCGCCCCGAAGGCGCGGTGAGCTGGGACGGGAGGCAGGACTGCCGCTACTCGTTGATGGGGAGCCTGAAAAATGTTGGTAACTTAAAAATCGTGATGTCCGAGTCTGCTCTTCAAGTGACGATTCGGCAAGACCATGCTACGACCAATGCTCTCGGTAGCCTCTGTACCATGTGTTAAAAACTTTTTTCATTGAGACCAATTTCTTTAATGTGGCATCATCTTAAGCTTAAAGTGTAATTAATAGTATGTGTGTATGTAACTTAAAAATCGTGATGTCCGAGTCTGCTCTTCAAGTGACGATTCGGCAAGACCATGCTACGACCAATGCTCTCGGTAGCCTCTGTACCATGTGTTAAAAACTTTTTTCATTGAGACCAATTTCTTTAATGTGGCATCATCTTAAGCTTAAAGTGTAATTAATAGTATGTGTGTATGTGTAAGAGAGAACACCGGCACCGCGTTCTCTGTGAAAGCTCAAGACAAGTTATCGGGCGCAAACCTGATAGAGAACTCGGAGGCAAAAACTGCAAGAACCATTCAACATTTACTTGCCGAGGGCTAGCCCAGAAGTGACGTTTCCCGCATTTGCCTGTGTCACACACCGCAAGCTGTTCACTTTTGTTCAGTATTAGTGTTCGGTGCTTTCGGCGTTGTTTATGAAGCGAAGCAATGTCTTGTACAACCTGTGATCACGAATCCAGTGCTCATCGCTAGTGGTGAGGCTTGTGAAAGATCTTATCATGCTCTCGGTGGCCATAGCTAGTTGTCACAGTGTAGTGAAGGCCGGCTAGCATACGTCGGCGGGATTGTTTCGATTATAACCAGTGACGTGCCCCTATAAGATATACACATCTGCTGCCATCAGTGGGACAGCAGCATGAACAGGTAATTACTCACTTTGGCTAGTACATCGTACTTCAAATGTAATATTTCCAGTTAGTATACGCTGTTTCTGCTAACATTAGAAATAGTGCGATAAGGAATGTCACTGGGGCCGACGTTTCAGTCACGAGCTTCTCTTCATTCCTATTGAAGTGACCTATATTCTTTGTAACATTGAGCGCGGCCAACACAACTCTTGTGACTGTGTTCAGAAACGCCTCGAAAGGCTCGTCAGTACAATCTTGAAGTTCATTCATTCATTCAATAATCATTTATTCACTCATTCATTCATTCATTCATTCATTCATGCGTTCGTTCATTTAATCATTGACTGAGTCATTCATTCATTCTCTTTCTTCCTTGAACCCTTTTATACTTTGCGTTGCTGACGGAGTGGACTAAATTGTTCGCATGCATAAAATTACGACCAAAATTGATGACTTCATGTTGTAATCTTCTTGCTTTATACTATAAGTTGTGCCTGAAGAGTGTGTTTTAAAAAAACGCCTCTCTGCTCACATTGTAGACCCTAATATTTCTGTAACAGACTACGATATATTTGTTACTCTTTTGAGGGTTCAGGTGTTAGGAAATTCGAGTGTATAGTTCAAAAACATTTGTTCAATTTGTCACTACGCAGTGGCACAAGGTCAAGCATAAAAAAACCACGAGCCTACGAAGAAAAAAAAAACAAAAATTATGTGTTAGTTTTTACGGTGAGTTCTGATTTGAATGTAAATTTAAAGAGACATGTTAGTTTTTTTTGTTCTATCGACTCTCTGACAATGGTAAAATGATCTGAAAAGGAGTGGAAGTATCACTTGATAGAGAGTCCTACGCGTGGCAAGGCACGGCTCCGAACTTCATAAACAATTTTTTTTGTTAGACTGTATAATCGAAGCTTCGCAAGACAAGTGTCACTGAACTCACCTCTATGCTCCCGGACCAAAAGGGGCCCGCTACTGGATGCAGCGCTGAGAGGGCCGTCATCTTGACGGCTCGTTGGTGACTCGGCTTCGTCGGCGTCTCGTTCCGACTGTTGCTGTTGAACACTGCGCCAACATTTGCGCAAGGTCAATCGCAGACAATACATAGCACATCGTGAAAGATTACAAACGTCAGCGTGCCCGCTTAAAGGGATTCAGTTAAACAATGAAATAATTTAGGCAGAATAGTTATTCTTTGCTGACTTGCCATTAGTTTCACCGGTGTATGAGGGTAATTATCACCAGAAAGAAAACTATGGACCATGTACGCGAAGGGAACACCGATGAGATGCGAAGCAGCAGTGGTGCTCACGGCCTTGACCCGTAAAGGGCGTCTCCGCGGTTGCTGGAAGAACGGTTTGAAGCGAAACTTGGTGTAGCGTTTACTAAAGCAACGCCTCCTAGAAGAACTATGCCTGGACACGGCCGGACTCGACGCTCCTTCCGCACGCTCCTTACGGCCTTCTCAATACCGGCGCCGCGCATATATTTTTTTCTGACGCGTAGTGTGGCGTCTAACCGCACGAGGGCAGCACCACCTCACTGTAAGCTCCGCCGGCTCCCCGCGTCGCCGACTGCGACTTTTCTTGACTGCGTTCGATGACCTCGGGTAAACAATGCATCAGACACGCTCAGGCACGCTAACTGCACTAGCGTAGCCATGGTTTATTGTTGCGTGCCGCTGTGTAAGTCACAGCAAGGGAAGACACCGGGTGTGTCGTACCACCAATTTCCTAGCGATGAGGAACTGTGTTCGAAGTGGAGGAAAAATGTTTCACGTGAAAACCTCGTCATCAATGACAAGTCCGCATCGACTGTAGTGTGCAGCAAACACTTCACGGAAAATGACTATGTTCCCGGATATCGTATCCGGAAACTGCGTCCAGGAGCCGTGCCCACGGTCTTCGATCAGTATCCTTCGTATATGGTCCCGGCTACGAAGAGGCTGCGCAAAGAACCTGCAGCGCGTGGCCTCTCTGCCACTTCGGCTCGTCGACAGCTGACGAAACGGAAAGCGGAGTCATCGCCGTCTACCTACGGGGAGTGAATACATCGTGATGCTTGTCAGTGAGTTTGAGTGTGATGCTTGTGTTACGATGCTGACGACTACGAACAAAGCTGATCCTTTGTATGTTCTGTTGCACAACCAGGACAAAAGTGCACTCCGCTACCCAAACCGTATGTTTTTGACACTGTTGGACAACATTGTTACTTTCTTTGAAAAAGCTGCTAGCAAACTTCCACGTACAAAAGTGCATGAAGTGCTGCAACTTCTGGTTACCCCACACCTCGAACAATCACCCGTCCTCCTCTGCCCAGAGGGTGTAGACAGCAGCCACGCAAGGCGCACAGCTCGTTTAATTGCGGACAAATTCATCAGACTTCTCCTCGTTAACTAAGCCAAGATGGTGAGCGATAGAAATGAAAAACCACTTGCGTATGTGCACAAGCCGTCTAGAAAATATTTCAGACTGTGATGAGTATGTCATGGAGGTTCGCTTTATTTGTACCATGCATTTGTGTTTGTGTTAATTTGTATTGCTAGTGTGGGTTTGAAAGAAAAAGGTATTTGTGCTAACCTCGCACAGAAATTGTTTTTTTTTTATTTAAGTTCTAGTCCACCTTACGACAAAATAAATATTGCTTTTTCTCTCTGAATTTTGTGCGCTGTAATGGATTACTGTTGCTTGTGACAACACCCGTGTGCGAAAATCCGGGAAAGCTGCCGGAATGGTTACGACTGGGTAAGCGGTGCTCTCAGAGGTCGACTATACCATTTTAACCTCTTCACATGCAACGACCGAGCTGTATTGTGTGGATAAAACGTTCATCTTCAAGAATTCAGGCGCCGCAGTTGGTTCTGTTCCTCGTACTCAGCGCTGTTATGATGGCCATAGCGCTGTGGCGCGCACAATGCGCCCGTGAACGCGCTTGGAGTTGGCGGAGCAACAGTGGTCTAGCAGCGCCACCCCGAACTTGCGGCAGCAGGCAGCAAAACACCCCAATGCGAAGGCCGTAAGGGGAGCGCCGGAGAAGGAGTCGAGTCCGGCCGTGGCCTGGAACGTCGCTCTCTCTTCAATTGGGAGCTTCCTCCCAACACAAAATTTCGGAGGTCATGCCTCCTGCTACGTGTTGCGACCGTCCGCCACGTGGAACCGCCCGCCTCCGTGCTGCTCAGTAACGTGATATTACCGCGCTGCTCTGTCACGTGACATCACAGCTGCTCGGAGGCAACTGTGAAAGCATTGCTGTGCTTGCAGGGGGCAACCGCCAAAGGCGTTCGCCTTCGTACTGGAGGAGGAGTGTAAAAGCCGCAGGTAGGGCGCCGCGTTCGGGGTTCACGGTCCAGGTATAATTTTTCTAGGAGACATTGACTGGAGTAAGCGCTTGTTTGAAACGCGGACGCTGGAGGAGGGACGCGTTGATGACGCTTGCGCTTGGCTCCCTCGCCTCGTGTCTCGCCGGTGTTATCCGCACGCGGTCTCAATTCTCGAACGCGATCGGTGTTCTTGACTCGCACCCTATCGGTGTCGTTCGTCTTCCACTGCAGACGCTTGCGCTAGGCTTCTCTGGCTCGCGCCTCGCGTGTGTTCCAGGCACGAAGTTGCCATTCGTGAACGCGATCGGCTTCGCTAACCCGCAACGCCGGCGACGGCCGGGAACGGTACGCGCACACTAGCGGGAAGCAGGCCCGGCGGCGTCCCGCCTTTTGGCGCGACCGCGCGGCAAGCAGCAGCGCGCTGTCCACATGCCGGCGCCGCGGGACCACGCCTGGGCTAAACGGCGGCGCACTAGCGTGCGCAGCGCGCCTCCCCGCGGCTTCTAGCCAACAGATGGAGAGAGGTATTTGATGAGATGATGCCGACGCATAGAGAAAGGAAAAGACAAGAGAGGACACTCCGCGAAACCTGGCCTCAGGAAGTGCGTCACGACTACGTAACGAACTAGTGCTCTCACCAAACGTCAGAGGGCGCAAGCGCAAAAAAAAACAGTTATAATCAATGCAACAGAATTGTTTTTAAAAAATACTATTTATACGCCCAAATCTGGTATGTTCTTTATACATAAAAACAATTTATGCAACACACCTTCCGCGATTATTTTCTTTAGCCGTACTGTCATAAACACCATCCACCCAGCGACAAGCCCATGCATGACTGACAGCGGGAAGCTTTCGTCGCTTTCGTCAACGTCGGCTGCGTCGGCGTTTTCGTGCGTGAGATAACAGGTGAGGCACATTTTCAAGCGAAGCTTGTTGAATGACATGTTGTTGGGCTTGTTGGGTCATTTTTTCAGAAAACGGTTACACCTGCGCGAATAAGAGAATAAGACACCATGCAACAATCATAGGAAGATGCACACACACACACGTTGCGCTTCGTGTGTGCGAGTTTGTTTCTTACGTGTTGTCTCATTCACACAGTTGAAACCTTTTTCTGAAGCTTGTAAGGACGGGGAGGTTCGCTAAAAAAAACTTTGCGGCTCTATGCGGCGGCTAGACGGGAACATTGTGCAACGTATGCAGTATAGCAAAGGTGGCACGGCGTCAAGCCGAGGCGACGCGTGCTGCGTCTGCCACGGACGCGAGTGTCTGTGCGCTGAGCATAGCTGGGCAGCTAGGGCATAGGCTCGGTGTGCAAAATATTGAGAAGCGTTCGTTCGTAGACATCTTGCGGTTCCCTGCCCACACACCACTAGGTAACGCGGAGGCCAATCCGAATGAAGTGGCGCACAACGTGGCTCAAGGTCTTACGTTCCGAGTCATGTCAGACGAAGCGGCCACCCAAACGGACCTTTCTGCGCCGGTGTGGGAATGGGACGATCGGCTCACTAAATTTAATGACATAATTCAACACTATCGACTGCAAAGGCGGGAGTACCCTCCGCCTCACTCAAAGCTAAATCGGGCCCAGTCCGTTCAGTGGCGACAGCTACAAACACGCAGATACACGAAGCCTGTCATCATGCACCACATATATCCTGACGTCTATAGTTCTAATCTGTGCCAGTATTGTACCACCAGAGCCACTCTCGACCATATCCTATGGGAATGTCCAGCATTAGTCAGAAATTCTGGGGTCGCGGCCTCCAATGAAGACGTTCGGGCGCGTTGGCGGACTGTGCTGCTCAGTTCGGGCCTGGACAAACAACTTTGGGCGATCCAGCAGGCCAAGGAAGCTGCCGGGAGTAGTTAGCCCCTAGGTGGGAGCCCATCCCAGCAATCTGCCGAAAATTAATAAAGTCTATCTCTCTCTCTCGCTGGGCCTCGCATGCTTCACGACGCGTTTCCCGAAGGCTCGGAACACGAATAATTCTTGGTGTGCCGGAGGCAAATCTGGACTAGCCAAGTGGCCATCATCTTCGTTTCTTCGCTAGCCTTGTGCCACTAGTGCAAGCTGCCCACAAATTTTTTTGACATTTCCAATATAATTTTACCGCACAAATTTCAACTACGATTTTTCTTCCCAATTTACTCCTGATACTGCGTACGCACGAAGGTGTTCTAAAGTTCCCAGGCCGCGATACCATTGCATTACAAGGGATAGCGGCCTGGAAACTTCTGAAGATCTTTGTACGTGGTCTTGACGTCTATCTTTGTAAGTCAGAGTTTTATGGGTCAGAGATGTATCACTGGTTTTGTATTGTGCATCGATTAACTAATCATTCAAAGGGGTTTGCTGGTACACTTATGACGTGCACATATCTTTTTCGTAATTTGACAGCGAAGCATCCACTTACTAACATTTTCAGAGCGCGCTGATGCCATGCCGTCCGGCGGTCCAAGCTACGGCAGCTACTGCTGTGTATCGTGGTGCTTCAACAATGACAGAACCCACAAGAAGCCTGGGACGAGTTTTAAGCATACCACGGACGGCAGGTGTGTTAAAGCTTTTGTATGGTTTGCATGTCTTTAGGCTTACTGTTCGTACTTGCTCAGTGAGGGTAACAATAAAAAATCACTATTCAAGCCCTTCCCCTTTCAGCTGATAGTTTATTGCCAATGCAGGATGAAATCATGGATGCAGTATGCTGGACGCGATGATATCCTTAGTAAGCCAGCCAGC